AAGGTTGATTGCCCATTCTTCAATGAAACTGCTTTCTCAGCAAATCACATTTGAGTGTTGTTAATCTCGCAAAAATGTTGTCCAAATAAAGTCTATTTTCCCCCTTTTAAAACAATATAATTATGAAAAATTACAATAACTAAATTTTACTGAATTAAATGACATACAAACATTTAAAATTGTGTTTTTATATTTAAAATTATATTAAATTACGTGGATCAAAGAGATGTCATCTGCATCAAATCAATTTACAAAATAAATTTTATATGCACAAAAAAACTTTTTAAATAAAAGTATCTACTTTAACCTTTTCAATAGCATTTGTGATGTAAAATGTAAAAATATGAGTAAAATGTTCCATCATAACCAAGTGTAATAAATATATATTTAAACAAAAAGAAAACACATTTACATATTTATTTGACTTGTAATTATTAAACTATATAAAAATAAAAAGCGATTAGACTAAATTATTTGATTTAAAATTCTAAACATTTTGTTCACCAATGAATAAAACATAGTAAAAATTATATTTAAATTAGTATTTTGTTTCACACACATGTACGAAAATTGGCACACACCTCAAAAAAGCCAATACCTACAAAAAAAAAAGAGTGAAACCCAACAGTAAGTTGGATATTTTTTACTTCCTTTTCAAAAAAAGTGCAGTTTTTCCCATTTGCAGGCGTTGTATTTAAACTAACTCCTCCTAGGGATTTTATCAGATCAACACCAAAATTGGGTATTGCCATCTAAAGGCCTTGGCAATGTTAAATCGTGAAGATCTAGAGTTTTCAACTAAAGGGCGTGTCTGTGGTGGCCTCTCAAACTTGATGTTTCGCAACAAAAACAGCATTGTCTGATCTGCCTCAAAATTCCCTCGTGAGAGAAAAATCTTGACCTGAACAAATTTACATGCCAATATTCAGTTACAGTCCTAGTGCTACTTGCTGGCAACAGGAAATGACATGTTTCACACTATAACAAACTCCTACTAATTTTGTGAGATCTAATCTATCTGCTCTGTTACTCTAAAGGCTGGTCTATACTTCTGCGTCATGTGATCGGTGTGACCCGCAGCACCTGGCTTGAGTGTAGTTGTGCATTTATACTTCAGGTGCTGTTTATGTTAAGAGCTGTAATCGGGCCATGAAAGTTAGGCCCGATAGAGCCCGAGCCTGACAGAATTCGGTCTGAGCCCGACAAGTACATTTTGATTAACAGCTTTTTAAAAGCCCAAACTCATTTACACCCCGACATTATTCAAATGTGCACATGCACACAGCTCTTTTGCCTGTTTTCATGAATGAGTCTTTATATGTTTTGACAAAATTTATTCATGACAAATGTAGGCCTTAGGCCACTTAGAAGTTGGAACAAAAAGATAAAATAAGTCCTCTGTAACATCGTAACTTCTCAGCACTCTAAATAGGCCAAGCTACATACACCTAGCCTTTAAATTGGCCGATACACCAATAAAAATGAGTCTTTCCTAACAAATTGAAAATTAAAATTAATTTTAAATGATGAAGGGTATTTGGCAATAACGAAATTAAGATAAAGGCTCTTTAGGATTTGTTTCACCACTTCTCTTCACAATCTGGCTTAAGGACGATGTGGCCGACCAATCACAGAACTTGTGCTACACCTTGTTGCGACGTGTAGTTACATTTTTTTGATAGATGCGTGTCAGCCAAGGCAAGGGCAATGTGACTGTGCGAAGGCTGCACTTGAGCATACGCTTGAAGCCGAAGTATAAATCACCCTTAATGCAAAGACCTTTGTGATGTAAAAATGTGAAGATCAAGAGTCTTCGATGAAGGGTGAGTCCATGGCGAGCAGACAAAGTTCAGTGTTTTGCCATGGAAGAGGAAATACTTATAACTCAGCCACTCAGTATCTGATCTGCCTGAAATTCACAGGTTCAATAACACTTCTCTCCTGAAGAGTTACAGTCATATCGCCCCCTGCTGACAGAAGGAAGTTTGTTATAATTCTGTTATTTTCTCAGGGTTTTTTTTTTTTTATATGTATCAGCTTAAGATATTATTATCCACTGTTCTCTGTCATCCTGTCAAGGCCACTGGGTGGCGTTGAGCCCAGGTGCAAGGTCCCTTACATTGCTGCTTGCAGCTTTAAATTTCATGACAATCTTTTTCATTTTTAATGCTTGAAATCCCTTTTAGCTTTCGATCTTCTTAAAAGTATTGTCATAATAGCATGTGAAAAATCGATAGATGCTCATATCAGACCAGGACATTTGTGACTTGCCTTCCTATTCTCAAATGAAACCTTTTTGTTCACATGGGTTTATCTTCTGAGTAATAAAAACACTGTCCAATCAGAGTCAGGTGTGTAAACTTTCATAATCATTAGTATAAGTGAAGATTAAGAGCTGTTTTTTAATCTTTGTTATTCATTGACATCCCTCCTTCGATCTCTGCATCCATTTTCACTTCTCATCAAGGGCATCAGGATTAAAAGGCCAGGAGTGTCACTGACCGCTGACCCAAACCTCAGCTTTGATGACTGACCCCTAAAGCCAAACTGTCAAGGTCCGAAAGCTAAAAGGGAGTCCAACCTTTGACCTCTCAATGTCACTGCTGGCCTACAAGGGGTTAATAGCTCCTCAAACCTCCCATAAGGGTCCACTGGGAAGGATAAAAGGTCCCATACTAATACATCATGTCCAACTCTGCCATCATCAGCAAAATCATTCACTTAAAGGGACAGTTCACCCAGTGATTCAAATTCTGGCATCACTCAACCTCCATTTTTACAAACTGTTGGAATTTCTTTCAAATTTTTTGGACAAAAGAATAGATTATATCTGCGGTTGAAACTGCATACTCAATGAGTAGCTACTCAATTTCAAAAAGTACTTACTTAATGAGGACTAAAAGAGGAGGTATTGAACAGCTAAATCTCGTTAAGTGTGAATGCGATTGTACGTCATTTGTTATCATGTGACTTACAAGCCCAACTACATTAAAGAAATTGCAGGTTTAATTTAAATTCATATTTTATTTTTAAAAAGTTAACATGAATTTGTTATTATCTTTATTGTACTCCACAGGTAATCTGCTCAAATCTGGTTTGTTTTTTTGACTTGTTTGATTATTCAATGCAAATGTATTTGACCTCGTCATTGTGCATTTTTGCCATATTAAGTTATAATCTTGTGAAAGATACAGATACAACCGTGTTTTTCTGAGCCTGTTTAAAATGATAAGTTCTGCATATTAATAATGATTATTAATAATTATTAAAATTAATAACAATTCCATAATAATAAAAGTAAAAGGGACAGAAGCACTAACACCTCATAGCATCAGTAATGTGGGATGGATGGATGGATAGTACGGATATGGAATGGATGGATAGTATGGATATATGTTTGGATGGATGGATGGATGGAAGGAATGATGGATGGATGGATAGATGGAAAGACAGACAGACAGACAGACAGACAGACAGACAGACAGACAGACAGATAGATAGATAGATAGATAGATAGATAGATAGATAGATAGATAGATAGATAGATAGATAGATAGATAGATAGATAGATAGATAGATAGATAGATAGATAGGCAAACAGATAGAGAGGATGGATGGATGGATGGATGGATGGATGGATGGATGGATGGATGGATGGATGGACGGACGGATGGACGCACGGATAGATAGATAGATAGATAGATAGATAGATAGATAGATAGATAGATAGATAGATAGATAGATAGATAGATAGATAGATAGATAGATAGATAGATAGATAGATAGATAGATAGATAGATAGATAGATAGATAGATAGATAGATAGATAGATAGATAGATAGATAGATAGATAGATAGATAGATAGATAGATAGATAGAAGAAACCAGTAGCAATTGACTTTGGTTTTATTTTCTAGTATGGATGTCAATAGCTACTGATTTCCAACATTCTTCTAAATATTTTTTTTATGTTTAACAGGAAACAGAAACACCAAGGTTTGGTAGCTAAGTAAATGATAACTAAATGTTTTCTTTTTTTTTTGTGAGCAGCCGTTTCTGCTTTAATCTGCTCTTGTTTTTCAAACTAGGAAATTTGGTTATGAAACTGTATGTGACGCACAATCCATTCCTACAAAATGGACATAATGTAGTGCAAATTAATAAAAAAAAATATTGAGAAACATTTTAATTTGAGGTACATCAGTATGCGGTAAACAAATTAGCGAGTGATGAGAACACAATATTAATCACATTAGTGATAGAAACCAGCTCGAAAAAAGAGATCCAAAACAGAGAGGAAGACAAAGAGCATCGGATTAAAAAAATTGCCCTGCCAAATTTCCCAACATGACCTTCTGATCCTGTCCTGGTCATGCCAGATCCTTACCGCCTCTCTTCCATTGTCATACCTCAGGAAAGGCCAGAAGCAAACCAAAATCCCCACAGACTAGTTCCAATACTTCATCAGGAGCACCCAGAAGGCTGAGTGTGTTTAAAGAGGGGGAGGTTGGGGGAGATCTGGTGCCCTTGGGCAACAACAATGACTAAGTACCTCAGCAGCGAAAATAAGGGCCCCAAAGACAGAACGACTTCCTCTCCTGCTGCCTGTGTTTCATATCCACAGAATTGAAGGAGTCAGCTTGGCTGCAGGAGTGGGTTCAGTACTTACGGATGGGCTTCAGTTCAGCAGGAATTCACGGGTCCTGGATAATCTTATCTAATCCATTATTAGCTGCATTTTTCATCTTAAATGCACAGATAACATGCCTCTGATAGGGTTAATAGCGTAGGGCGCTTACAAGTGAGGGTCAGAATGAAGATTGAAAGGCTTGCCGGGTAAAACTCCACAGCACTTTACTTGAAGACTTCAAAGGTGGTGAAACGATATGGCGCTTGGGTGACAGGAGGACGACTGCGCTCTCTTTCAAGCAGAAAATACTCCCATAAAAGTGAAATGCACTGGACTTAAAGTTCAGAGAGATCAAGGAAAAAGGATGGATTGATTTTAAAGGCAAATGTTTATTTAAATGATGCTGCAGCACAACAGAGTATGTTTAATTACAAATTAGCTGAAGATTATAGGCACCACAAACAAATAAATGTTCAACAAGCCAAGAAAAATTGATTTTGGAGTACTGCAGTTATTTTGGTATTATTATTATAACCGTCAACATGTATGTCGGTGTCAATAGAAAATGTTCAATAGAACTTTTTGCATTGGCAAGCTACAATTCTCTTGCTGTTTAATGCAAAAAATGCTGTAAATAAAATTTTTAATTTGGAACAAATGTAATCTGTAGTTTGTTTCATAAGAAAATCTGATTACTGGTTAAAACTAAAGATGCACTGATACCATTTTTTTCAACCCATTCAATTCCGATACCAAACTGAGTGTTATACAATCCCTATACTGTGCAGTTTTTTTAATTCAATGTTTTTTACATAATATAGTTTCTATATTTCTTGTGATAAATTCAGATGATACAGTGTATCTTCTTTAGTAAAAATAACAGACCATTTAGGCCTACTAAACATGACAGACATTAAGGTAGGCTATTATAAGGCATCAGATTTTTCCGCTGTGCTGATATACTTTCATTTTCTCCATCTAACTCACGGCGAGATTTGGCGAGGGAGTGTTTAATAAGTAAAACTGGCTTGTCTGCATCAAACCTGCAGAAAAAAATAAGCTTTGCTAAAAGGCAATATCACAGATCACAACAGATCTTATCAATGTCATAATGAATGCTGTAAACCAGGCTACATTATTGGAGCATTCATTACGACATGGATATGATCTGTTGTGATCTGTGATATGGACTTTAAGCAAAGCCTAATATTTTTTTCTGCAGGTTTGACACAGACTAAACTGTCTGAGGCCAGTTTTACTTATTAAACATGAGTTAGAGAAAGCTAAAGTACATCAGCACAGAGGAAAAATCAAATGCCTTAAAATAGACTACCTTCATGGCTTTTGTTGGCTTATAAAATACACAGAATATAGCACAGAAGCAAGATCAGATTTGAATCGGTACTAGATGGCTAATACCTGATCCAGCAAAAATATGTGGTATCGAACTGATATCCGATCCAAGTATGGGATTGGTGCATCCCTGGTTAAAATCAAATGCAATCAAATGTTTAATGTACTTGCTGACACTGTGAGAGGTGAAAAATCAAAGAGTTTATAAATAAAAGGTGTGAATATTGTCTTTGAGGTTGGTAAGATTTTTTCAATATTTTTTTTTCGTAAATATGCCTGTTATGCTCACCAAGGCCATATTTATTTGATCAAAAAAACAGTAAAACGGTAATATAGTGGATTATCACTAAATGCTCTTCCATATTAAGATCTTTTATAATTAAGGTATTCCTGTGGTGGAATATTCAAAATAATTACTGCAGTCTTTAGTGACATACGATCTTTCATAAATCATAATATACTTATTTGCTGCTCAATATTATTTTCTATTATCAATGTTAAACAGTTTATCTGCTCATTTTCTTCTAGAAACTGTGATTTAACTGTGAAAACACCCTTTTCAGGATTGTTCAATGAATCAATTATGTGAAAGAGACATACTTTTAAGCATTATAAATTTCTCATTGAATGCTTCCTTGCTGAATAAAAGTAATGCTTTCTGTTTAATAAAACCTTACTCGCCCCCAACTTTTGAACAGTAGTGTATCTGTATATAGGAATGTGCATTAATGAAACTCCCAGTCTCTGTGCTAATAATCCCCCCATCACTCTCAGCACACACTCCCACTGCTGAACAGATCCTGGGGTTTCTTCAAGACCCAGGTTACCTGCCACTGACCCGTTATCAATGAGCTTACACAAACTCCCTGAACTTCAGCTGTCAGTGAAGGTTTACATCTGTTCAGAAGGTTAAGTGTGTCTGACAGCTGTTTTCTTTACCTGCCTGATTTGTGAGACTTGCTGTTAAGGGTTGAACTACATGCGGTTTTAGTGTTTTTATGCGTTTGCTTCAGTCCAGAGGAGAGCATCACCTGTTCTTGCATCTTACAGGCAGCTCAGTCTTTCCTCTTCTTCTTCAACCAAACCCCTGCAGCAACAACAGGAGAGAAAAAAAATCACATCAATCTGCTTTTATATGACCCAAAGCTCTGCATGAAGAATTGAATATGTTATGCTCTGGTAGAAGCAATGTTAAAGCTAAATTGTGAAGAGTTAGTTCAACTATTACATCTAACTGAAATAGATAGCAAGAGATGTAGTCAAAGGATAAACTTGACATGCTGCCATGATGAGTTTTTAAGGTTTATAGTTTTATTTTTGAAGTGTCCTATAATAGTTTTACATTCATCCAAGGTCAAAGAATGCTTTACGTTTCTCAATTAAATAATTAAAAGTACCTTCAATTGCTCTCTCAAACCAATCCCTTGCAAGAGTCTACTCAGCTCTCATTTGTCAGATAGCCAAGTCATAGTTTTTGTTATTGTTGTGTTATATTTGCCTCATGCAGATGAGTGGGCTTGACAAACCACCTGTAGAACACACACTCTTTCATCTCTTTGACACTTTAACCGACATTTGGACCAGACACATTCTTATGCTGCATTCACACCAGATGCAGATGAAGCATCAAGCGCGAGTGATTTACATGTTAAGTCAATGCAAAGACACAAATAGACATCCTGCGCATGTTTCGCGTGAATGAGGCGGCGCAAATGATGCAATTCCAGCAAATGAAGAGGTGCGAATTTAACTTTTTGCGTGAATTCTTGAGTTGCCAAAACTGAACTTCAGCAGACATTCGCACTGCGTTAACCAATCAAGAGCTTTCACTTGTAGGGCCATGATTATGATATAGCGCCTGTTGTTGATGTCCCGAGGAAGAAAATCCTCTTGCCGGCACCAGACAACAGTTGATCAAACCAGGCTTGGCTCAGTCGGAAGCATCACTGAAAGCCTCCATCATCCAGGTATAGTTTCTGGAGGAGTTGATGAACTCACAGAGCTGGGTGCACCTCTGAATGCATCTAGTGGACACAGTCACGACATCAAATAAATATACGCTGTTTATCAGCCTTCCTAAAGGACATAAGCACAGCTCTTCTCTCAAGAAAATCCATGTTAGCCATTTAGCAACAAAGCTATAGTCACAGAAGCCTCATGGCTTATCATGGGCAGACAGAAGACCTGCCCATAATGCGAATCCGCATCTATTGTGAAGTGAATTTGACGCGCGAATGAATCGAGTAAACTCAAGACAATAACGCGTCTATTTACGTGCAAATAGCACAATTTATTCGCACGTTCCATGTCTGGTGTGTACACAGCCTCACAATCAAAAAACATTGTGCATCTATGAAGTATGCTTCACACAGGTGAGTGTGCTTGACAAACCACCGGTAGAAACGCTCTTCTCTCTATAAAAAAACCTCCCCCTTACTCTAGCACTGAATCTACCTCTGCTTCGTTAAATCTTTGAATGCCTCCTCAGTTGTGAGTCGCTTTGGACTCTTGCTAGTGTCTTGCTAAATGTCTAAATGTCTAAATGTCTAATTAATGTCTAAATGTCTAAGTGTCTAATTAAATTAAATGTCTAATGTCTAATTAAATGTCTAAGTGTCTTGCAAGTGTCTTGCTAAATGACTAAATGTAAATGTATATTTGATATCATAGTGCATATTTTGCTATTTGTCTATTGTTTTTCATTACAGATTTAATATAAAAAGAAATTTGGGGTATAGCAGTGAGGTTGTTACATCAAGTTGCAATCTTTTACAAATGGAACTGTTTAGATTGGTAATAGAAATAAACGTACGTCTGAATCCCGTACGTCGTTCTCCTGCTACTTTCATCTCAACTACTATCAAATGTGCACTTCTAAGAGAAATAAAATTGTCATGTTTCAATATAACATGTGCAGCACTATAAAAATCAGGTGTTGGTGCCACCATCTGTAAAAACTTTGTGGCATAGATGCCGCTGCTCACAGATGTTATTCTGAAGCCTTGAATCATAATAAGGGCACTTTAAGCAATGCCATGATGAACTGAAGCTGGCACAGATGCTGGGATGAATAGTGCAAAGTCTGTAACATTTTAAACTGATAATGATGCTGAATGTGGCATCAGAGATACTCATCGACAACCGGCATCTAGCAAAAACTGCACTTGGGATTTTTCTCGAGCCAAACGCTGATGAAGATGGCAGCACAGTGTCATTTGGGGTTTGTAGAGCAGACAGGCCTCCAAAATCTGCACGAATGTACAAGCCAAGCCCTCATCTCTTATTCATCAAGGATAAGAAAGTGTCAGTGACATGAAACTGGCATACCGAGAAAAAATTACTACAGTATATACATCCAAAGCCAGAATAAACAGAGGTGTGAAATTAGCTGGCTGAACTATTGACAAAAAAAAGCTCTCTCTGTCCGTTGTAATGAGCTATTGTTGTAAGTTGGTCATTTCCTGAACCTCCAGGGGCAGGAATCTCTATTTTAAGGGTCTTTTAAGAGATTGATGTTATGTGGTAGATGCGTCATGCCATATCCACCAGGGGAGACGGGGAATATTCCCAATCCGGTGATGCTGTGACAAAGACACGTGTTTAGGGAAGCAGGAAATTACTTCACCTTTTCTGGGACTGTGAAAGGGATGCGCTTCCTATGACCTATCTTGGCCTCAGGAATGAGGACACTATTCTTAGGGATGTCTTCATTGTGTGTGGTGTCACTCATTTTGTCTTGCAGTGCAATGATATAATTAAACACACACATTTCCTCATATTTACTGTTTTCATGCTTATTCATAAAGCATAACAATATATCTGCATATTATATTTATTTTTGTCTTTTTATAAATAAATCTTAAATTATCTATGATACTCCATGTAAACATAAATAACAAAAAAAGATTCATAATAATAATAATATTTCACAACGATACTATTTTTGATCTATTTGTAATCTAATGAAGGCAGTCTTGTGAGACTTCTTAAAAAACGTTTAAATGTTAGATTATCTGATTTACACTAACTGGCCACTTTATTAGGTACACCTGTCCGACTGTCCAATGCAAATTTCTAATCAGCCAATCACATAGCAGCAACCCAATGCATTTAGGCCTTTAGACATGGTTGAGACGATCTGCTGCAGTTTTGACCGAGCATTAGAATGTGGAAGAAAGGTGATTTAAGTGACTTTGAATGTAGCATGGTTTTGGTGGCAGACGGGATGGTCTGAATATTTCAAAAACTGCTGATCTACTGAGATTTTCACGCTTTACAATCTCTAGGGATTACAGAGAATGGTCTGAAAAATAGAAAATATCCAGTAGGCGGCAGTTCTGTCGGTGCTAATGCCTTGTTGCTGCCAGAGGTCAGGGGAGAATGGCCAAACTGGTTCCAGCTAATAGAAAGGCAACAATAACTCAAATAACCACTTGTTACAACCGAGGTATGCAGAGGAGCATTTCTGAACGCACAACATGTCCAACCTTGAGGCGGATGGGCTACAGCAGCACTTCTGGGTGCCACTCCTCTTGGCAAGAACAGGAAACTGAGGCTGCAATTCACGGACTCACCAAAATTGGACAATAAAAGTTTGCAAAAACGTTGCCTGGTCTGATGAGTCTCGTTTTCTGCTGCGACATTCGGATGGGAGGGTCAGATTCTGGCATCAACAACATGAAAGTATAGATACATCTTCCCTTGTCTCAACGGTTTAGACTGGTGCTGGTGGTGTAATGGTGTGGGTTACATTTTAGTACCAATTGAGCATCGTATCAAAGCCACGGCCGAACACGTCGATCCCTTTATGACCACAGTGTACCCATCTTCTGATGGCTACTTCCAGCAGGATAACATGCAGTGTCATGTCGCGAATCAACTCAGACTGGTTACTTGAACATGCAAATTGTTGAATCTATGTAACGAATGATTAAGACAGCTCTAGTAAGTTGTACCTAATAAAGTGGCCAATGAGTGTATGTATAAGCAATATTAATACTTGAGATTTTCTAAACAAGTGGCACCAATGACCCCAAAGTCATCTTAATGTATGCATTTTTATTTTATTATTTTTAATTATTATTATTATATATTTTTTACCTATTATGAAGCATGCTGGGGTGTGTTTTTTAATATTCTTTATCATACTGTTTTTGAGTGGTTTGTCTGTATGATGTATCATGATGCTACTGCCCTAATCTAATTGCCCCTTGTGGGATTATTAAAATGTTTCAACTTGAAACTTGTCTTGCATTACCTGTAAGCAGCAATCTCTATGTCTAAATTCATCTTCTGATTCAGCAGTTCTTCATAGTCCTCACTTTGATCCTTTATCTGGAACTGAAGATCAGCCTCCTCCTCGTCGAGCTGAGAAATGTAATTCTGGACAGAAACAACACAGATGTGAGATCCTGAGAGCCTCTGCAGCAGAACATGAACAGTGAAAGTTTGTACCTCCAGCTCTTCAATTTCCTCCAGGTTTTTGGCTTTTCTAGCTTTTACTTCACTCTCCAACTCATCTCCATGTTTCTTCAGCTCTGCCAACTCTTTCTCCAGCTCTGCACTCTGCAAAGGATTGACACATTTGACACAAAATCCTTTCTTAAAGGGGTCTTATTCTGCACACTTTTAAAAGATGTAACATAAGTCTCAGAGAGTGTATTTGTAATGTTTAAGCTCAAAATACAGTAAAAATAATTTTGTAAACTATTTGTAACTGCCCATTTTAGAGCCGTTTTGGTTACTGTCGATTTCAATTAAAATGAGATTGTGCTCTTTAGTGCGGTGCATTTTTTTTACATTAATTAAGCATTGATAACTTTTTTATTTTGAGCATTATAAACTCTATATGATGGAAAATAAAGCCCAAAGTGTCTTCTTTCCAAAGATACATGAACTATGAATGTAGCCCAAATTATCCAGCAACTTTTACAGTTTTAGCTTGGGAAGGTCATTTTTGCGAAAATGCCTCTGACAGTGAGGATAAAGAAGGACACTGATATATACTCTGAATTTGTTTTTACAGAAATCTCATTTTGCATGCTATCTTCATCAACTTTGAAAAATAAACTAACGAGATAATTGGCTTTCAAGGCATATATTTTTACTAGGACTTTTACATTAATGTTTTCCTGAGTTGTGGAAAAACAAATATTGAACACAATACAATTTCTTTTCATAATGTATAACTTTTTATATTTTGACAAAGTATCTTCTTCCCAATGATGGCTAATTTGTGTTTGTAACTTACTGGAGTCAAGAACTGTTATATTTTAAAGTTAGGTAGGTGTAAATCTTCAAAAGTGCTGGCTGACAGGTTTTAAAAGAGGGCGGAGCTACAAATGCCTATACCTCAGCATAGCGGCAGATTCAAAAACAGGACTAATGTCATCTCTGTGAAAAAAACTGAAAATGTCTCAGAAGAAGGCAGTTTATAGAGACTAAGGTGTTCATTTGTGCATCCTAAAACTTTGCATTTATAATGCCTCTTAGGCTGCACTTACACTGCAGATCTTGATGGTCAATTCCGATTTTGTGACTGTATCAAATTTTTACTTATTGCTTACTTATAAAAGTGACTCGTATTGGATTGTCTATATTTACACAGCATGACAAGAAAAAAAAAAGAGCGGGCGCTGACTGACAGCTGATAATTAAAGAGTGCTCTTTTCTCAATTCACAATTGTGTTCGCAGGGTTTCATTTTTTAATTTTTGGGGATTTTACTATAGTTTATAAAAGAAAAAGTTGTCATTTGCCATCTTTTTTTAATCTAGGCCTTTTTAAACCAGTAAGCATCTAAATGTAATGTCCATGGCGTAATAAGTTTATATTGGTTACGTGGCGGATGTTGCGCTCTCTCACTCTCTCTCATAAACATGCTTAATACTTGTGCTACGTGACAATATAAAAGCTTTTTAGACCTCCTGTATGAGATTTAAGGTTTGGGACATTCAAGTCTGTTCTGAAATGAAAGCGTCAGAGTTGACGTCGTTCTCTGCGGTTTTTAATGATGCGCGACTCACATTGACAGGTGTAAATCAGATCTACCTGCTTACACTTCACACACGAGGGCACAGAACTGATTCATACCGAATAAATTTCCTCATATAACCCAGTTCTAAATCTGATTTTAGTAAGTCGGAATCTATGTGATTTTTTACCTGCTTACATGTACATGGGCCAAATCCGATCTGTGCCAAAAATGGAATAGAGTCACTAGAAACATGCAGTGAAAATGCAGTCAAGGTCTCTGACATAGGGCTCTATTTTAACGATCTTGGCGCAAAGTCCAAAGCATTAAGGGCATGTCCGAATTCACTTTTGCTATTTTAAGGATAGAAAAATCCACTTTGCGCTGTGACGCATGGTCTAACAGGTTTGAGCTTATACTGTTAATGAGTTGTAGGTTTGTTTTGAGAATAAACCAATCAGAGTCTCATCTCCCATTCCCTTTAAGATATAGTTGCGTCGCGCCATAGTGCATTTGCTATTTACATGATTGACGTTGTAAGTGGAAAAACTGAGCGTTCACTAGCGAGAAAACAGTCAAACAGATCATCTGCATTTACTTTCAAACTCTTCTGTGCATAAGGAAACGTGTTGTAAGCACAGACATCCATTAGCCTATACATAATTAATTTCATTTATTAAGTGCAAAGATTTCAAAACTATTTCTAGATTCAGTTCCGATTTCAAGCAAACGAATAAATGAACAATAATAAGTGTGGTCAAAAACCTGAGTTATATCTAAATACACATACTTTACTCCATATGGTCTAAAACCTGACAGGTGGGAAAATCTAAGCTTGTTCTTAATAAAACAAATATATAAATATGCATATAATAAATAATACTGCTACTAAGAATAACATTATACTAAAGCAAGTTGTCATTAATAAACTGAAAAAGCCCCCCTAAGATGAAGAAGGCATGGAGGCGGTGGTTTTTATATTTATGTAGAAAATAATAGTTTTTGTAATATTTTATTCCTTTAATTATTTTTATTTGTAAAGATATTTGCGTATTACTGTACATCCTTTGTGTATTAAACAATGTGTAAGCAAGGCACACAAATAACGCGCTCTGTGCTGGACTTTAGACCTCCTCTCAGCTGGTCTATTATGCAGTCTATTTCAGATCCTCAAAACAGCAATGCGCCTTAACACACCTCCTTTTTTAGACCAGAATGCCTATGGGCGCACATATGAATGCAAATACATTTAGTATTTAAACAGTGTGGTGCAACACGTAAAATGACACTTGCGTCAAGCTGAAACTAGCAAACAACATTTGCGTCATGCCTTGCGCCAGGTGTATGATAGGGCCCACAATCTTCAGCTGGTACTGAGCTAAATCTCTAATGGCAGATGGCTGCTTTTCACTCAGGGTTATTTTTACAAATGAGGGAGAGATCATCACTTATGGGTTTCCCCCTCCGATGACATGTACAAAGGAAGAATGTTGATCAAAGTGTTTTTATGTAGTGTGAAGCCTGGCTATGTTCACACACTGTTGCTGCACAACTTTGTTTAAACCACTTATAAAAGTGAGTTTTGCACAGAGATGTATAGTAACGAAGTAGAACTACTTCACTACTGTACTTAAGTACTAAAAGGCAGTATCTGTACTTTACTGGAGTATCATTTTTTTCTCCTACTTCCACTTTTACTTAAGTACATATTTTCCATGAGTTTAATACTTTTACTCCGATAGATTTTTTATGTGCTGCATCGTTACTCGTTACTAGGGGTGTCAAGATGATTGATAACAGTTCAGTAATAGGTCATAACCGGTTATTACGTGATGACGTCATTTATCTCCTATGCGCGATGTCGCAATACTATGGCGAAGGACGGAGGCGCGAGAGCGAGGCGACACAGCATACCAGCTGCTAGTTTACTATTAGGGAGAAACGTTGTAAAACTTCACCTCTGCCTATCTCTCGCTCACTCACTTTGGACATTTGACCCGCTGGCCAGTTTGTAAGGTAACTTTTCCTCTCTTCTTAGCTGTTAAAGCTGTGGATCTCCAGACATGAGCGTGCCTCATGTGCAATTAAGTTTTCTCCACTGTCTATTACCTGTGATAAACGCGTATTCTTCCCGCCATGGGTGAACAGCGCTTATATTTCTAAAGCCTTTTCTGTTGAGGACAATAACCAATCATAGCCGTGTAAGACCCGCCTGCCAGCGCTCAAAAAGCAGGCGGGATAATATTGACATGAGTTTATTAGCTGTAAATGCTCGTGCTGTCTTCTGTGCATGAGTTTTGTTTGATACATCCAGAAAGAGTGTTTTCTTTGAGCAGGTAAAATTAAGGGCACAGTTCGTATATCTGACTGCTGTATTAAAGGACAAAATTTTATTACAAAAAACCCTTTAACTGTCACACCAAGACAAAAACAATAGAATTTTTTTGATTGCATTTCTTAACTCCTAATGTTGCTAGTTAACACAATCAGTGCATTTTTATTCAACACATCACATTATTTCTAAAATATCAGCCTCTACCAAATGGTTGAGATGTTGGTTTATGGTAAAAGTACCAGAATTAATAAATATACTACAGAAAATATGAACTGTAAGACCAATTTCATTAAAAACATGATAAAAATAAATAAAAATTCATACTAAATCATAGCCATAAGCCATACAATATTTCAGATTTTCATTTAACACAGTAATATACACATTTTCCTGTTTTTTTTACAATAAAATCAAAATAAAGTGAATTAGTGAAGCAGGACTTAGTTTGCTTGTTTAGTTTAGTTTCACGAGTGCTTCCAGAAGACAGAACTCCTGTTCATTGTGGTATTAACCAATCAAACTTCAAAACTCCCAAAGTGTGAGTGTGTCTTTGTGTGTATGTGAGTGAGAGTGAATTATGTGTGAGTAAGAATGTTGTTTTAACAGTGTGATTGTACCTGTGTGTGCGTCCGTGCGTCCGTGTGTGTGTGTGTGTGTGTGTGTGTAAGAGAGAGTGCAACTTATGTAATGTCCCCACAATTCACAAAAATGTGTGTGTGAGAGAGAGAGATAGAGAGAGAACTGTGTGTGTGAGAGTGTATGAATGTGTGAGAGTGGGGAGAGAGTGTACATTTAGGTGTGTGCAGGGCAGTGTGTGTGTGTGTGTGAGAGAGAGAGAGAGTATGTATGTGAGTGAACATGCTGAATTATCTCATCAGTGAAGGCATTTTCTGTGAAAAGGGCCTGACGATGTGAGCTCGTGTACCATAGAAACTATTTACAGAGAAAAACAGTATCATAAGCCATGTTTCTTTTCGTTCTGCTTAATCAAGTACCCCAAAAAAGATATTTAAAATAAACAAAACAATTAGTGTATTTTGACTGCTTTCTTTAATAACTACATTACACAATACTTGTACTTTTACTTTCAGTACTTGAGTAGTAAATTTTGAAATAAACTACTTGTAATACTTAAGTACAAAAAATATTGAATACTTTTGTACTTCCACTTAAGTATGGTGCTTAAAGAGCACTTCTACTTCTACTCAAGTCAATTTTTGATAAAGCACTTGTACTTTTACTTAAGTATGGGTCTCTA